TGGTCTATGCCTTTCTTCAGCAAACCCAGAGTGTGTACATTGTTACCAACTGGTCTGGTCTATGCCTTTTCTTCAGCAAATCTAGTCCCTGCACTTACATCTACAAGGGTGCAGGCATGTAGGCCCCTGTGAGCATTCTAGGTTCCAGAGAAACCTATTTATAGTTCATAATTAAATTGTTTAAGAGACCATGTTGCAGCTCGCACTTGATGTCTGACTCCGGTGTTAAGTGCTAGACAAAGGTGGCAGTCTCTGTAGCCTGTTTGCCGGCCTGCCAGGATACCTTGAGGTCCCTTTTATTAATCCACTGGAGCAAAGCACGTGCCCCTGAATGTTCTCGTGTTTTATATAGTCCGAGAATTTCTTCCAATGCTCTTGGGCTTTTTAATTTTCCAGTCTGGGTTCCTTTTAATAGTTATTTGCACAAGGTTGTCCTGATTTAACCAGGTTCTCCATTTCACCTCATTTTTATAGTGTTGGGGCAAACTTTCAGGTTTATTAAATGCATAATCTACCATCTTTGCTGATTTGTTCTGTGTAGCTACTCTTTCTCATCAAACTTCCTTTAGAACCCCCCCCCCCCCCCCGATAATGTCACGGAGACTTATTATTCATTATGACAGCTTGGTATTTAGCTTAAGTTCATCCCCAATTTTGCTCTCGTAACTTAAACGAACCTGGTTCCACTCATCTGTGCTCTGCCACTTGACTTCTGACCTCTCCTCCATTCAGGGCCTCCGACTTCCTCCGTGTCTCACTAGCATCTCCTGCCGCACTAGATCCTAACCTCTGGCTCCTCTCTCTCCCTGGAAGTCCCACCTATTCTCTCCTGCCTAGCTATTGACCATTCAGCTCTTTATTAGACCAATCGGATGCTTTAGGCAGGTGAAGTAAAATGGCAAGCCATCTTCACACCGTGTGATAGAGCATCCTACAACAGTTTGGAGTTTGTTCCCTAGTAAATTTTAGTATGTTAGTCTTAGTTAAACACAGTGCCAATTTGTCTGTTATTTCATTACTTTTAGATGTCTGTCTTGCCTGTGTGAGTATCTACCTGGGCCATATAAATTTTGATGTTTTTCTTCATGCTTTCCATGCTTCTTTTCCATTCATTTCCATCCATGCTTCTCTTGACCATTTATCTTCCAGCTAGTGGTTTTCCATCTTGACCACCATATAGCTATACCATAGCACACAGACCATGTTTTGGAGAATAAGTAGATTTCCCCTTTGCCTTCCTTGTCTTATAGCCAGTGCTGCTATTACTTCAGTGTGTCGCACTGGCTTTGTGGTTCCTTCCTCAGTAAGTGGCCGTTCCATCCCTTAGTCTATAGGCTGTTGCTTTCCATCTAGTTTTGGTCCTATCAGGGGCTGATGAGCCATCAGTGAACCATGTGTTAGCCAACTGCTGTGGCCATTGATCCCCACAGTCCAATAGGTGCCTCTTTTGGGTTGGTTTAGGGATGGGTGTTATGGGCAACTGAGTTATTTCCTCAGTGCGTGAAGGCACAGACCCCTTTGCTGCCACATCCTGGTTATGAAGGAATTCAGTTAGGTACCATTTCCACTGTAATACCTTTCCTTCTATAGTTAAGCCTGTGAGAGACTCTGTCTGTGAGTGGATCCAATCCATCATTGTAAAGGGTACCTTTATGACCATAGGTGGTTGGTGTGAGTTGGTGTGAGTCATGGCTGAGTGTAGGGTTCTGCATGCTTCAAAAAATGTCCAGATTTGCTTCTCAAAGAGAGAGTATCTGTTCTCCACATATGGGAAGTGTTTGCAATATAAGTCAACGGGCAAATGTTGATGGATTCCCTTTTGCTTTATAAAGAGTCCCTAGTTGCCATATTCACCAATAAATATGATATTCATAATTAGGGTATCATCTTGTTCAATATTGGTCAAATTGCATTCACAGAGATGAGCTAGCAGGCGGTCTCAAAAGCTTCTCTTTGCTCCTGTCTCCAGTGGAAATCAGCTGCCTTTTTAGTAACCCTATAGAGGGATTTCATAATAATCTGTAAACGCGGTATGTGGTTCCTCCAGTAAGCAAACATACATTAGATGCTGCATCTGTGTTTCATACCTGGGTGGAGGATATCTAAAATCCTGTGCAATAAGCCATATAGGATCATGGTTCCTTCAGGTGTCCATAACATGCCTAGAAACTCTGTTGAGGTATCTGGCCCTTTCACATTGTCTCTATTAATGGTTCAGCCATCATGTACCAGGGTATCAATTACTGTCTCCACATAGTTGTAAACAGTGTCCTTATTGTATCCTGCAATCAACATATTATCTACCAGGGTGGGGTAGCTAGGTGGTAGTCTTTCGAATTTCAGATAATGCAGCATGCATAGCCTCCTTCAGAGGACTGCAAGGATGCCTGAGAGCCACTAACATTTGAAGAGTCACCTCAGTTGCTGCCCTCTGCTGTCAAATATGCTACGGGAGACAGAAAAAAAACAAGGATTAACAATCCCACCCCACCAATTAAGGCATATGTGAGCATCCAGGAGGGACCAATAGTCTTTTTATATTATGCCAAACTTTTTCAAAAAATGAAGAGTCAAAGGCCATAACCTCTGCCCTTATCTGATCTAACTGAAAAAATTTCATGTGTTAGCTGCAAAGAACAATATAGAAAATTAGTTGACCGTGGGCCCTTAATATAGTTAGCCATCTCCCAGCACGCTGAACTAACATTCCTCATCTCAAAAGGCGGAAAAGCATGGGTCACAACTGTGTCTCATCAAGGTATTTAAAGTGCAAATCTCTTCCTCTAATAATAAATCAATTTGTTTGGGGGGCCATGAGTGCAAAAAGGGGTGTATATACATCACCCATCCTGGGTTATTCCCTCCTTGATGGAAACAGGCTGATCCACGGTCAGGCTATTGGCCATATGCCCACATGGTGTCTCTGGACAAGAGATGGCATTCGGGAGTTGAGCCTTGGTTCCACCTACTGGAGGATCAGCCCTTATGTGGAGGCACCAGGCAAATTGAAACAGAAAAAAAAAATGTACCTTCCTAATTGGACAGGCAGACAAACACAACAGGTTACACAAAAGGAAGGAAGGATGGAAGGAAGGAAGGAAGGAAGGAAGGAAGGAAGGAAGGAAGAAAGTCCTGATGCTTTTCTGCCAAAGGGACTGAAAACACACATCAAGAGGCCTTCTCACTGTCCAGCACCGTGAGTGAGGAGAGGAAGGCGACTAGAACCTCTTCAGGCACCAGATGTAGCTCCCTCCGGGGAGGGGGTGAGAAAGTTGTGGTGTTAACAGCATAGACACCAGGAGTTGGGTAAAAGGTAAACAGCAGACTCAGTTATTCAGCAAGGAAGAGAGCCTTATATACCCTCCTCCCAGCATGCAGGCTGCATTCCGATCCACTGACATTGCGTGGTCATCCCTCATTGGCTAGGCAAGATCAGGACCTCTCACAGCGCCTGTTGCTAGGCTCTCAGACAGACTCCAGATTGGCTCATCTCTTGGCCTTGTAGGCCTGTCTTCCTACACCAGACTCGTGAGGTTTCTTCCTAGGCAGGAGAGCATATTTTGTATTTCAGGATGACCAGCAGAGTGCCAGCATTCTTATCTCTTCAAGCCAGACAATATGGAGTTCATTTTCCCCTTTTGTTTCCAGGGTCACTGTGTATTGTCTAATCCAGACAGGGGTAACTGAACTGGTTAGCTGAACAATTGCAGGAGCTTAGTGTTGGGCCAGTCCTGTGGGGCGGGGTTCTGCCCATACCCCCAAGAATCTTTGTTGTCAGTCTGAGAGATAGTCTAACTGTATCTTTTGATGGGAAGTAGCTAGGAGATATTCTTGACACACACCAAATTCTTCTGGTTCTCTGTAAATCTAACTGCATCTCAGCAGCAGCAAAGTTTTAGTCTAGGGGAAAGGTCTTGTCCCAATCAGTTCTCTGTTGTTAAATACCTCCTGAGCTACCCCCAGCAACTGGGACCTACTTACACCTTTAAATTTTTCTAACTTTTCCAACTGTTTTCTAATATTTGGGACTGTCTGGGTCCAAAGAAAATCTTTTTAGCAGCAGTCTTTAATCAAAAAAAAAAAAAAAAAACAACAACTTCCCCGACTGCTCTTAGGACTGGAGAGGAAGGAGGGGAGGGAGTTGGGGGGGGAGGAGGAGAGGGAGTGGGGGAAATGGAAGGGTATGGGGAGGAGGGGAGGAAGTGGAAATTTTTATAAACAAATAAATAAATTAATAAAAAAAACTTATCAAAAACTGTTTAAAGCCAGAAAGCCTGAGACTCGCGGAGTGGGGGACTCTGAAGGTTGCTGGAGCTGCCCGACCAGAATGCAGTGATGGAACCAGGTTTCAGCCCTTGTGGGGGCAGTTTGGGTGGTGACAGAGGCGGTGGAGGAGGAGGAGGAGGACAAGGAGGCCTTTGGCAGGGGATGAAGAGGCTTTGGTGAAGGTCGAGATGGAGGTAGAGGCCTCAGGGGTCAAGGAGATGGAGAAGGTGGTGAACGAGGTGGAGGCTTCTAGTGTGGGGGCAGCGGGGGCAGGGTGGTGGTCGGGGAGGCAAGAGAAAACCAGTCAGGGAAGAATGTGATGGTGGAACCACAGGGGCATGAAGGCGAGTGTGTGTGGGCGGGGGGAGGCAGGGGGCAACTGAAGCTAGAAGAGGACCGACCGCGACCGCACTCTGAGGCCTCAGCCCCTCTCTGCTCCCCTCACCAGGAGTCTTTATCTCTCACGGAAAGGAGGAGGCCGTGTTACAAAGCTGGTCCCTGGAGAATCTGTGTAGGGGGAGAAGAGAGTCTCTAGTTCAGAAGGAGATGAAAAACCGAGTACCGAGCCTGGAACCCCTTCCACTTCAAGCTGGCAGCAACAATCCTAGGCTGTAGACCACAACCACATCAAGCTGGGGGCCAAGGTGCTCTAGCTTGGGGCAACCTCACGTCTCTGATGTGGTCTGGTCTATGCAGTTGAGTTCTCCCACCGTTCTGGCCGTGACCTCATCGACTTGGCCAAGAGGACCAACACTGTTCCTGTGATTTAAAATGCTCACCCACACAAATCACGCATGCTTGCTAGGATTGTGGATGTGATCTTTGCTGACATGGCGCAGCCAGACCAAACCCAGAGTGTGGCCCGGAATGCCTACACCCTTCTGCAGAATGGAGGACATTTTGTGATTGTCATTAAGGCCAACTAACTGCATTGACTCCACAGCCTGGTAGCTGCTGTGTTTCCATTGGAAGTGAGGAAAACGCAACAGGCAAACAGGAAGCCCCAGGAGCAGTTGACGCTAGAGCTCTAGGAAAGGACAAACCATGCTGTGGTTGTAGGTGTGTACAGGCCACCTCCCAAGGTGAAGAACTGAGCGCATGAATAGGTACCCCGCTGTAGGGGAGACGGCCTGTGGACATGAATGAAAAAGCTCGCTTTAATTGATTGCTTGCTTTAATTCGTGTGGCTATGATGATTTGGGTCAGCCCTCCCAATCTCTGGAATTAATGCCACCAAGGTTCAGCTAGCAAAGTGCTTCATTTGGCTACAGTGTCCATGAGGTCCAATCATGACTGACCAGCATGCCCTATCACAGACTCTCCCCTTGTCTGTGATGTCTGCCTGTTCAGGTTCATCCACCCAGTCTCTCTCCTTTTTGCTTAATAAAGGATCTCTTTTGGGCTTGAACTTGGTGTTTGGGGCCATCTGAGCCTGATCCAGGATCCAGAAGGGAGCACCCTACAGTATGAGCTCCCTCAGAAACAGAGAGAGAGGGAAACAGACAAACAGAAAGAGAGAGGGAAGGAGGAAGATGGAAGTAGATAGAAAGACAGGGTGGGGAAGCACTCCAGAGGAATTGGATGTAAAACTCAAGAGAAACAGTTGCCCAGAGAGACTCTAGTTTTGATCTCTGGCATCATGGTGTTGTGGGGGAGGAGCTGAGAGTTTTTGCCCTTGAAGGAACTCAGTGTTTTCTTTCTGGGCTGTGGAGTCTAGGGCTATGAGTGACACACACACAAACATACACAAACACACGCACAGAATTTAAAATAAAAATAAAACTGTGGGGAGCAATGAAGAAAGACACCCAACACTGACCTGTAGCTGTGAATAAACATACATACCCACATAACCCCTAACACGTGACCACATGCATATATGCGCGCGCACACATGAACATAGTGTATTATGCACGTGCACACACACACACACAAACACACATAAGAACACGTGTCTGCAAACACAGGCGCACACAAACACCCTAAGACATTTTTCAAGGAAGCCTGTCAGGGGGACGGGATAGTGCGGGGTGTGGTCGGCAGGTGGCGCTGCTGGGAGGCGGTTTTGTAGACGGCCTGGCTGGGATGGAGCTCGCCAGGCTCTCAGTCTCCTTCCCGCCCCGCGCTCGCCTCCGTGGACACGGGACAGCCCTGCACCAGCTCTCCCGGCACAGACCAAGACACTGCAGCCTCAGAACCTTCCTGCAGGGACACAACGGTGTCACCTTGTTAACAGAAGGGCAACCTCCAGGGTGGGGGAAGGGGGGAACCCCCACCCTCCTTGGGCGGGAGAAACTGTTGCTTCCACCACCACCATCTCCTCACTCCTGCCTCCCCGCCTTCCTCACCATGCTGAGCCGCACCCTGGAGCTGTGAACCTCAGTAAACCTTCCTTCAGTTGCCATTCTCGGAGATTTGGTCACAGCAATGAGAACTGAAAGCCAGAAACAGACCTCTAAACGGGCAGTGCTCAACCTGTGGGGCGCAACCCCTTTGGGATCAAATGACCCTTTCATAGGGGTCACATATCAGATATCCTGTGTATAAGATATTTACATTACGATTCATAACAGTAGCAAAAATACAGTTAAGAGGTAGCAACAAAATAATTTTACAGTTTGAAGTCACCGCAACATGAGGACCTGTGTTCAAGGGTCCCAGCAGTAAGAAGGCTGAGAACCACTGCTCTAAAACAACCCCATAAGCTCCTCCTCTCTTCCTTCCTTAAAGATCAGGCCTCAAATATTCCCCCAAAAGTTTATGTGTTAAAATTGGCTGGGCCAGCGAGAGGGCTCCGCAGGTAAAGGTGCCTGCCACCGAGTCTAACTTCCTGAGTTCGATCCCCAGGACTCACTTGGTGGGATGGGAGAACCATGCCATGGTATGTGCGCGTTCACAAGCCACCCACACGCACACATATGTAAATAAGATGTTTCTGGTTGGGCTAGTGGAATGTGGTGACACAAATCTCATCTCAGCCCTCAGGACACCTAGGAAGGTGGATGGTGAACTTCAGGCCAGGCTGTGCTGTTGAAGGCTTGGTACCTGATACAGCAGTTTCCCATAGGAGGTGACTGAGTCCCGGAGACTCTGACCTCCTCTGATCCAATCATTGTCCTCAATGCTTACTGGATCCCAGGGATGGCAGAAAACTAGCGAGGGGGAACCAGATGGAAGAAGTAGGTTACTAAGGGGGGCGCCCTTGAAGGAAACAGTCTGTCACTAGTGTGTCTGCAACCCCACCTTCCTTTCTCCCCTCTCCCATCTCTGTCTCTCTTCCCCAGTTGATCTCTCTCTCTCTCTCTCTCTCTCTCTCTCTCTCTCTCTCTCCCCCTCCACCCTCACCTCTTCATTCTACAGGAGCAGTTCTAACCACCACAGGCTTCAACCCTGAGGTTCCATCTTCCCATGAGCCTCAAAGCAACCAGGACCAAAACCCAGCATCCCAGGAACATTTGGGGCTCTTATCTTATAGCTCTTATACAGGCCCCACCTCCTCCTCCAGTGACCTCCCCCACCCAGCCATGGGGTGGTATAAATAGCCTTGTTTAGGGCAGGGCACTTACCCAGCTTTTATTCTCAGCATCTGTGCTGCTGTGAGTCTCTGCATTCACCTCTCTATTCCCTGCAAAGATGGGGTTCTTGCCTTTGCCTGTGGATAGAAACAGATATTTAGAAGGTGGTTTGACAGGGTGTCGGCTCCATCAAACGGCAGTCTTCAGCACCCTGAGGGTGTAAGGCCTCTTCAGCCTGGGTTTGGGACTGGGTGTTTATAGCAGTAGGTGTGGGATCCCTCCTACAGAGCAAGCACAAATGAGGTTAAGGAGCGAATGGTCACCCCCATAACAGTCATGCCAGCAGCCACGCCGTTCCGTCTCTGTGAGTTTCTATATTCAGTGTCAATCTTGTATGCTTTTCCTTTATGAAATAGGAAACATTTGACACCAAAAAATGTACTTACATAACCTGGGTTTAACCACTGAGCCATCTCCCCAGCTCCCAATTTAATTTTTAATTGAACATCCTTCTTGGCAATCCCATACCCAATGTGTTATGACCATATCTCCCTCTTCCCCATTTTCTCTCCCTCCCATGCCTGCCCATCCCATTTCCCCCAGCTGCTCTTCCTCTTATTTTCACGGCTATTATTAGTATTATTAATTGTCATTATTATTATTATTGCCCAATTTCTAACATAGGGCAAATGTACAGAGCCCTGATTGTGAAGTCCTGGTCACAGGTTCCATGATGCTGCCTTCCTGGCAACATACAGCACACCTGTGATAGGGACATCTCTGTCATGTGAGTGCCAGGTGTCTGTCCCCAATGATGTGCTCATACTGTACCACTGGGAAAAGTCACAGCATCCTGACATCTGCAGATTAGGACTCAACATTATCAACACTCAGGCCCTTGTCTCTGATAGGATCTTTGTTTTATACTAACAGCGCTTATCAAACATTGGCAGCTGACACAATCACAAAGTCCTCTTAAGGAAACAGATTCTGAGAGTCCACACCCAGTAGCTCTGACGGCAGCCTCCACAAGGCATGGGGATGGGGGCCTCCTCGTGGGCCTGGGGATGGGGACCTCCACGTGGGCATGGGGATGGGGATGTGAAGGGGAATGTGAATAAAGTAATCCCACACTAACTCAGAATTGAGTATAATAAGGGGGTTCTCTATTTAGGGGGACTCACAGATCACAGTCCCCTGTATGAATGGGGAACAGGAATCGAATCCAGCATCCAGGCAAGAGAAGAGAAAGAGGTGTGTGGGGGGGCAGGTACTCACCTTTTTGGTACCCAAGGTCATGCCCAACCTGATCCAGCCTCTTAAAGGCCATTGGCTGAAAGAGGTTCCCCATCACCTCCCCCTTTGTCTAAATAAGAGAGTTCCAAACCCAATACAAAACTATATCCAATAAGAACAGATAACAAGTATAAGAATTAGAATTACAACCAGAATAAATAACATTAAGCAAGAAACATATGTTAAATGTTTTAATAATTATTCTATCCTAAGGAGTCTAAGTCTTGTATTAGAAGTGGCTTGGCTAAGTCATGAGAAGAAAGTATCTATGACTATCTAATCTTCAACACCATTGAAGGCCTGAGAAGGGAGATAATATTACTTGAGTAAGCAGGAAGTACAATCAAGCTGCTTCCAAAATGCGCAGTAGATGACAGAGATAACTGGCTACCTGGGCGATCACCCAAAGTCTCATTTGCAACGCTGGAGCAACCAACTTTGGCTAAGGCCTATAGTAACTGGCAGACCGTTTTCAGAGGCAGGAACATTTTCAGAATGGCCTTAGCCTGGCATGGCAAGGTTTGGCAGTCTTTTTTTTTTTCTTCTTGTATCCTGCTTGTCCAGTCCAGGCACTGTGCATTTTGTCAGTGGTTGATGCATGGGCCATTTCTTGCCCAAAAGGCCAGATTTGTCAAGAAGAAAACAAGCTCCAAATGGAGTCTCTTTGGGACTCATCATTCTTTTGGGAATAGATCAGTGTTGTCAGGAGCAACTGTGTCTCACATCAACAGAACCCTAAATTATTTAAATGCCATATTTTATGGCTTTTTGAAGTGGGTGAAGATTACCTATCTATGCAGAATGCAATCACTATATATCTAAAGAGTTGGATTAGTCTAACTATAAGTATGACAAACATGGGTGACTATTGACCTATGAATCTTAATACCTATATAGCTTAAAGACTAAGACTTTCTATTAGAATATTAGACAATCTTTAAACAACTGTGTGGCAAATAAGTACAATGGCCTCAAAATGTAAACAATGTATAAGTATCTTGATCAGAGGTAGAAACAAGCATGCATACAATATGACAAAATAACTGTGCAGAGGTGTACAAATATTGTTGTTAGGAAAAAAATCCTAAGGCAAGTCGCCCCACCAGTGCACAAAAATCCGATTAAAACAGATCAAACCAAATTAAAAAGGCCATGTTTTATTAAGTGCAGCGCTCTCTGGTGGCCGAGAGCATGGTGGGGAGACAGAAAAGCAGGGAGTACATGCAAACCCGGGACCACGTGTTTCATGCCAGCCCCTGGCCTGGGAGTTGCATTGGTCTGGACTCCAAATCCCAGAATGCAGACCAATGCAACTCCCAGGCCAGGGGGCTGGCATGGATGCCAGGGGCTGAGGTTACGCTCCCAACTTAACAACTGTAAACAGAAATAGGAGCATATTCAATATAACAAAAATAATTTGAATTTGTATCAATATACAAGAATCTATACTGCTGTAAATTGTCTATATATAAAACAGCTCACAAGTATTTGCTCTATCACCCACTATTATTATTAGTGTAAGCGCATGACACATGTAGGCAGCAAGCAAATATCGAAACTATTGTTTCCTCTTGCTCAAACTTAACCTCTTCCTCACCTCTCCCTTCTCGGGGTGACTCCAAGTTGCTCCTCCTTGCCGGTGCATAATGTATTTTGATCACATCAGGTTTCCAGCCGTCCTGGGGAGCAAGCAGAAGGCAGCTGAAGCTGGCTGGCGGCCCTAGGCTTCCAGAAGGAAATAGACACTTCCTGTTCCTGTGGTACCCTGAGCCAATCGTCTCAGCCCTACCCCACCCCCTCACCTTCCCCCCACACACCCCACCCCTGGCTCTTCAGAATTCACAGGGGAACCCGGCAGTGTCTCAGAGGCCTGCAGGTGGGGGAAGCCCTGTTCTTGGCACACATCCCATAAAGGTTACCAAGCAACCTTGTGACTTCCCTGCTACTTACTGTCATGGAATTCCTGAGGTGATTTTTTTTTCCTTTCCCTTCAGTTTGGAAGGGCTCAGCCCAAGCTGTGGCAGACTAACCACCGAGGGCCTCTAAAAGGGACAGTAAGCTCATCTTCCAGTTTGGAAGCAAGACAGAAGATTCCCCAAGAACCAGAAAGCCAGCAGGGCTGGGAATGAAAGCCATGGCCTTGTATTACATGTTAGGTAAGTGCTTAGACCAACCCTTCTATCCTGTAGAGACCCAGTCCCTCACTGGGGATTCTAGCCCGGGATGGGGTAGCCACCATCCCTGACCATGACCCCAACCCCTCCTGGGGGTATTCTAGGTAGGGGTTTCACCCCTGACCTTGCCCCCAACCCCTCACTGGGGCATTCTAGGCAGGGTTCCACCTCTGACATCCCAGCCCCTCACTGGGGAATTTTAGGCGGTGTTCCACCCCTGTTCGTGCCTCCAGCCCCTCACTGGGGGATTCTAGGTGGGAATGGAGGGATGTGGTGGGGTGAGGGTGTCCTTACTCCTGAATCATGCCCCAAGCCCAGTGAGGAGCATGAGGTGTGGATGAATCGTGAATAGGCAATACTTACCAACAATATACTAACCTAGCTTCCATCCTCAAAACTGCAAAATAATAATAATAATAATAATCTAAAAATAAATAAATCATGATTTAACTGATTGGTACATGGACTGTTTATAAAGTTCAGAGTCCTCCAGCTGTAGTTACCTGTGAATTTATTTTTCCAGTGACCTGGCTAGTTTCATATCAACTTAACACAAGTAGAGTGATTTTAGAAGGGGAACCTCAGTTGAGAAAATGCCCCCACGGGTTTGGCCTGTAAGCCTGCGTTTTTTCTTCACTGATGTCCCATGTTGGAGGCGTAGTGAGAGATTCTACACTTGCACGTGGCTTCAGTTCTGGGGGTGACAGCACCTAGGCGTTTGATTAAAGTCGGTGATTGTTCCCTTCTGTTTAAAATCGTGATTGTTCCCTTCTGTTTAAGGTAGGTGATTGTTCCCTTCTGTTTACAGTCAGTGTTTCTCATCTGAGTTCTTCCTGAAGGATTCCAGAGTCTTTGCGAAACTTAGTGACTAGACAACCTGGCAAACCGGGAGGTCTCCAGCTGAGGATTGCTTAGGCAAATGGCTCCTTCAGCCAGCTCCAGATGAGAGGTCATGGTGTGCAGAAATTGCTTGTTAGGTTTAAGTTGTGTAACAACCACCACCACCACAACAAAATGACTTTTGGTGAAGCAAGGGGCATTGAGTCCCTCAGAGAATGGACCTCCCTGCTGCAGAAAAGGGTCATCTCGGAGTGACCCTTGGACCCACACAGAACAGAACACCGGCACTCGGTGTCCAGTGTGGTGGTGCTTGAGAAAGGACGGACCCAACACTCGAGAACTGGAGGTAAGAAGTACGCCCACGTATGTGAGGATTCTGACCAGCGCAGAGCAACAACAAACGTCCCAAAGAATAACAGGCAGGCAGGGGTCCACCGTTGCAGTATGAGCTAGCACAGCCAGCCCATGGCCTAGAATTTTCATGTTTGATTGATTTGGGTTTGAATGTTTTTCATTTTTCCTTTAGAATGGGACTAACTCAATATTGAAGATCCCTTTGTGGGAAATATTTTTTTTTCCCTAATAGTGGAGAATAACTCACTTGATCCCTTCATGGAAGAAAAATGAAAACAGGCTCAACTTCTACTACAAAACAGTCACAACCAGGACATCAAGTACTGAGCCAATGCTGTTTAGTTTCCATAGATGCCAGGCAGTGGTGGCACACGCCTTTAATCCCAGCATTTGGGAGGCCCACAAGCAGATCTCTGTGAATTTGAGGCCAGCCTGGTCTACAGAGCAAGTTCCAGGACAGCCAGAGCTATACAGAGAAACCCTGTCTTGAAAAAAAAAAAATTGCCATAGATATTAGTCATTCATTTTGTGGAGGGTGTTCTCTTCCCCAATCTTCCCAATCATCTGATTAATGCTTGAATGAAGGTTTAATTTTCATAGTAAATGAACTAAAAGAACAAAAATCACGATTTTAAACTAACATTGGGTGTGCTCTTGCCTATTTGGTTGTACTCTTCAAGTTGCTTTTTGGAGACTCTTGGCTAAATGCTATTAAAATATAACAGCTATAACAACAGGTTATTATATTATTAAATAATATGTCTGCTAAGGCAAAACTCATAGAAATAATCTTCTTTTGATAAAGAGTCTAAAAATTATTATTTTTTCTTTTTTATTGATTTTTATTGAGCTCTATAATTTTCTCTATTTCCCTCTCTGCCTCTCCCCTCCCCTTCAGCCCTCTCCCATGGTCCCCATGCTCCCAATTTACTCAGGAGATCTTGGTTTTTTTCTACTTCCCATGTAGATTAGATCCATGTATGTCCCTCTTAATGTCCCCATTGTTGTCTAGGTTCTCTAGGATTGTGATTTGTAGGCTGGTTTTCTTTGCTTTGAGTTTAAAAACCACCTATGAGTGAGTCCATGTGATAATTGTCTTTCTGTGTCTGGGTTACCTCACTCAAAATAATGTTTTCTAGCTCCATCCATTTCAAGATGTCATTATTTTTTTCTGCTGTGTAGTACTCCATTGTATAAATGTACCACATTTTCCTTATCCATTCTTTGGTCAAGGGGTATTTAGGTTAATACAGGTACCTTAGTGTTGGGAACTATTGGGGGCTGTGGACCCCCTGGACCCTGAATTCCCTGTGAGCAGCTGCTCTGAGCAGCCTTGATGGCAGGCTGATGGGGGTGCAGCTGAGAGATCCCAAGAGCTGGGGCGTGGCCAGGGCCCTATAGAAGCTTCCCCTGAGCACAATAAACTTGGCATTCTTGTATCAAGGATGACCCATGTGTGCGTGTCTCTTGTCTATCTGTGATTTTAATTCTCCAGGCCAGTTTCCGGCTTGTACAACTGGTCCTGAAGTGTAGGTGTTACAGGACCATTAGTTTTCACACCTTAGAAAGAATGTTTAATGTAGTACAAGGAATTTTACCTTGCTGGGGATCACTGATTGCTCCTGAAAAAATGCAAAGAGGAGATTCTCATAATTATTTTAAATTAAAATTAAGTAAACAGAAAATCCAATCACAAAAGGTACAGATTTTAAAAGATGAGTTACACACTCTTAATGGTTTTCAAACATTATTGGGTGATATTAACTGGTGGTACCCCACTGTTGGGCTGATTACTCAAGAATTAAGTAATTTTTCAAAATTTGCAAGGTGAATGATTTAAACATACCAAAAGTAGTACTCTGCATTTCAGTAGGCATTTGTTTGCTTTAAGTTCTGAAAAGCCTGATTCTGTGATTTCACATTTATTAGAGACAATGGCTACAATAGACACACTGACACAAATCAAAACTACTAAGGCCCCAGGTTGTATTTTCAGGAAAATGAAGCAATGTCCTGCACATTATAACAGAAAGCTAGTTACAAGATGTTGTAATCTAGCTGTCCTCACTCCCGCCGACTGACAACTGACAGCAGAACTTCCTGTGGTCTGTAATTGACAAGGATGTTTGTGTTCTTTCTTGCTGGTGGTTTTCCACAGAAGCAGTAGAGGTATAAAAGGCTTTAGATTGGGGCAAAATAAAGGTTGTTGTTCTTCCACCTGAAAAGAAGCCTCTGTGTCTCAATCCCGGCACACACACTCACACTCACACACACACACACACACACACACACACACACACACACACACACCCCAGTCTCGGCATCTAAGCTGCGCTGGCAGCTCAGTAAGAGGGCTACTGTATAATCGTCCAGGACAAGCAATTGTTGAAAGAGCTAATCACGCCCTAAAAGAGATGCTTATAAACTGGAATGGGCATGTAAGGACTTCCAGGAATGGATTTCAAAATGCTTTACTAACTTTAATTTTTTTTGATTGTTTTGTTTTTCCAGACAGGGTTTCTCTGTAGCTTTGGAGCCTGTCCTGGAACTAGCTCTTATAGACCAGGCTGGCCTCGAACTCACAGAGATCTGCCTGCCTTTGCCTCCCGAGTGCTGGGGTTAAAAGTGTGCGCCACCACCGCCCGGTTTAACTTTAATTTTTTTAGTGTTAATGAGGCAGGGACAACAGTTGCTGGAAGTCGCCGTACCATGGGAGAAAACTGCTGAATTGAATTGGCCTGTGTATTATAAAGATGTTTTACCATCAGAATGGAAACCGGGGAAAGTGTTACAGTGGACTGACGTATGCTTTTGTTCCTACAGGACACACAAATTTGTGGATACCATCAGAGTTGATAAAAAATCTGACATGAGCTAGAGAAGTCCCTTGGATGCTTTGGCTGCTGACGTGGGTGACTTGACTTGGGGAAAGAAGAGATACAGGAAGGCTTTGAAGTAGACAGTTGATCCTTTCACCTTGGGGACACCTTAAGACTTTGTGTGGCAAAGGGGGAGCATTAGTCTGACTGACCAGAAAAACCTCTGGATGCTACAGCTTTGTTCTTTATTCTGCTATTTGTGGTAACTGTACATCTTGGGCATATGTTCCTAATCCTCCAATTAACAGGAGTAAGCTGGGGAAATATGGATATTCTTGTGGTGGTTAATAAATATTCTCGGCTACCTGGTCCTTATAACAACTGAGGACCTACTCAGTCTATGAAGGAGGGTAAGGACATCATAAACTATATGGTGGGAGTGCAAGGAATTGCCATTTGTATGGATAATGGAATTCAGTGTCTAAATATAACCTTTCAAGTGTGATTATCTGTAGTTAATACTAGCCAGGATCATTATAAATGTTATATGCTTCATGCATGTGGTTTTAGAGGACAAGAGATTAATACCACTAGTTCCCTAAGTCTACTACTGCCTGTAAGATTTGAGTCACCAACAAGAAGTCTGACTGGGTACACTGGCAACAATGTAAGAATGAGAACCTGGTGTGGGAAGTCCTTCTGTATGTGTGTTGCTTTTATTGGTTAATGAATAAAGAAGCTGCTCTTGGCCAATGGCTTAACAGAGTTTAGCCATGCCAGAAAAGATAGACAGGGAGTAGGCGGAGTCAGGGAGACACCATGGAGCCTCGCCAGAGACAGATGTGCCGGAACTTTACCCAGTAACCCACAGCCACTTGTTGATACACAGATTAATGGAGATGGGTTAGTTTAGGAAACTCAAAAAGAAACTAGAGCTAATAGGCCAAGCAGTAATTTAAGTAATATAGTTTCTGTGTGATTATTTCGTGGTCTGGGCAGCAGGGAACAAACAAGTGGCCTTCTGCAACTAACTGGCACTGGTCTCTGCCTACAAGAACCCTCAAGTGTTATCAGTAAAGATCTCCCATGGAGGTGTCACTGATTGGAGCCCTATGGTTCTTCTCAAGGAAAATACTCTCACTCAGCATTAAGATGCACAGATGTAGTTCAAATGACACTGTGGGAATTAGCTCTACTGTTAATGAACCTATTCAATGGCATGGAATTGGAATGTCAGGTCTTCTCCTGCAATTTGGCAATTCAGTCCAGACTAATTTGTGAAAATTAGCAAGTGCCTAACATCTTCTTGAAGCATGGGGAGGAAAATTAAACATTAGGGATGATAAGTCTCCTTTATTTTTTAGACTAAATCAAAGTCATCCCTTGGTTGCTATGCTCCGTTACCTTATTTGGTACTGAATGAACCTGTACAGTGGTACCCTAATAATTACAACATCAGTGGTGAATGCTGTACTCTTCATACCTGTATTAATTCTTGGATGTCTTCAGATGTAACCTCTGAATGTCTGTACATCCTTAGAGTAAGGCCAGCCATCTGAATACCAGTGAAGCTGCCGAGACCATGGCAACACTCACCTGTGGTGATTAGTGCAGAAAGTCGCTGAAAGAATATTAAGGCAAATTCGTCAAACGCTTGGACTAGTTGTTGCCTTTTGGGGCATCATTGCATTGGCTGCTACTGCTGCAACAGCTGGACTGGTGTGTCATAAGGAAACTCAAATGCTGAGATCATTAGAGACTGGCATACGCATCCTATAGAACCGTGGGCTCAACAAAATAGTGAGGTAGTTAATGAAGCAGCTGATTTGAGACAAACCTGTTATCCTAATGGGAGGTCAGTTAGAAATATTGGAGGAATAGACACAATTAAAATGTGATTGGAATGCTGCATCCAATCGTTCAGCAATAGCAAGCATGGCTGGGAAGAATTTAAGATGCATTTGATGGGTCACCCTAATTCCCCTAAATGATTTATGATTTATAGCAAGAAACGAAGGAAACTTTTTCAAAAGGGTTACCTCATGTGACAGAAATGGGTGTATGGAAAGCCTTGTAGATGCGTCAGTCTCGTTCAGCCCTGCATATCACTTTAGCAGATTTCTTGTTCTAGCGATTACTACCCTTGTCCTAGCAGTAAAATCTTTACTGGCATTAAAATATATTTTTGGCTTATTTGCCTAAAATCATGAAACAAAATAGGGGGGAAAGGCTGTTTTTATTGTAAGACCACATAATCTTCAACATAATTATATCTTAAACAGAAGGGTGGAGCTGTAGGGAGAGAGTCCACAAAGCCTTTGGCTGGACTTCCAGAGTGACAGTACCTAGACTTTTGTTTAAAAAGTCAGTGATTGTTGCCTTGTGTTTACAGTCAGTGTTTCTCATCTGAGTCCTTCCTGAAGGATTCCAGAGTCTTTGCGAAACTTAGTGATGAGACAACCTGGCAAACCAGGAGGTCTCCAGCTGAGGACTGCTGAGGCAAATGGCTCCTTCAGCCAGCTCCAGATGAGAGGTCATGGTGTGCAGAACCAGCTCCAGATGAGAGGTCAGAGGTCATGGTGTGCAGAAATCGCTTGTTAGGGTGTAAACTGTGTAACAGGGAAGAAGCTTTCCAGAGAGCAACGCGCAGTTCGCCAGGAGTTGGTTTGCCTGATACTTTTGCTGAACCTGAAATTCATCTTGAAAGAACCGTTTTTCTTCAATGGAACCTGTCAACCAGAACACCAGCAGGAGGGGCTCAACACATTTTCCTGGCCACACAGTTGCTCCTGTGTGTACAAGAAGGAAGGCTGGGCTAGTTTGTAAGCTGTGCCGCTCCTCGCCTCTGCCGCAGCCCCACCTGAGCCCCTACCCTGCCTTCCCTCAGTGATGAGCAATTGTAAGGTGGATAAACTTACCCCTCTCCAAGTTGCTTTGGTCATGGTGCTCATCGCAATAGAAACACTAGCATGAAATCGCCCACATTGTAGATGACTTCAAGCTCCCCAAATGACTTAGCAGTTACAAGCACTTGCTATGCTTGCAGAGGGTCCAAGTCTGGGTCTAAGATCCCACATCACGCGGCTCACAACCATCTGTGACTCCAGCTCCAACACCGTTTTTGTTTGGCTTTGGTGGGCATTGCACTCATGTGTGCACGCACACACACCCACACCCACACACAAACTTTTTTTACAAAGTGTGTGAAGGTTAAGGCTCTGGAACAAGATGCCAGGGAGGTTACACACCTTCTGAAGGCTGGAGGGGAGTCAGTCACTCTGTCCTCTTGGGTGGCGATGGCACAAGTCCCAAGTCCCTATGTCCCAGGTGTCTCTTTGCTCCATGTGCATGTGTGGGAGGTAGGGTACATTTGCTCTTGCAGTTGCCTGTGGAGGCAGGAGGTTGACACCAACGGTTTTCCCCCACCCTCTCCTGGGTCTCCCACTGAGCCTGGAGCTCTCTCCATTTCAGCTAGCCTGGGCATGGAGCTGCCAAGGTCCTCCTGTCTCTACCTCCCAGCAGGCTGTGGTTACGGGCAGGCACTGCTGTACCCCACTTTCAGGGATCAAACTTGGGGGTTCTCATGCTTGCTCAACAAGGCCTTTACCCGCTGAGCATCTCCCCGGTCCACACCATATTTTTAAAAGGTTTGCTTTTATTTATGTGGTGGGGGTTATGCGCTTGTGAGTGCAGGCGCCCAAGAAAACCAGATACCGAAACCTCCTGGAACTGGACCTCGAGAGTACCAGACCACTTGAGTACTAGGAACTGAGTTCTCTGGAAGGGTCTCGATCTTAACCACCAAGACCTGCACCATCCTCATCTGACTACATCTGAAATTCAGGGGCCACTGGCCAACAAGTTCCTTCCAAAACAGGATATGAAGGTGGTGGCGGCCTCTAAGCTGGGCCGGCTCAAACCTGTTTCAGAGGCAACCTCTCCCCGTTGCCCTCTTCTCTAGTGGACATCTCAACTTCAGGGGACTGTGAGCTGGTAGATGTGTCCAACATCTTATAGAACAGTCAGGATTCTGGGTAAAATGGATTTCCATGAAGAACACACTGCTCTCTTGGAGTGTCCACCCCAGGGAGGCCCAGAGGAAGGGACACCAGGGACAGGAAGGATAGATTCCCCAGGCCTGCCAGGCTGGGGTAACTGCCGCCCAGCTCCGTCCCCTCTCTACAGAATGGTTTCCTGCCTCTTTGCTGGCTCTAAGGAAACACTCAGCTGCTCCGTGTGTGCTGCACTGAGTGTTGGGAGGAATCCTGTCTTCTGGACTAGCGGCAACTTACTGGAAAGCCACAGGAAGGAGAGGGTCTCTAGGCCCCACCCCATCCATGACGAACCTTGCGTGGGGGCGGGGCATCTGTGCTAATAACTAGCTGCAGTGTGCTTATGAGTACCAACAACTCTGTCTCCTTTCAGATAGGGTCATGTTCTCAGCTTCCAGCGGGCATGGGAAAGGGGCAGTAGCTATTGAATATGCTAGCCATCAGGACAAAGTCAGCTGTGGTGACTCACACCCGAGGTCAGAGGCCAGCCTGGGCTGCATGTTCCACACCTGCCTGGGTTACTTGAGATGCAGGCCACTCCGGGCAACATGACAAGTTCTAGGCTAGCCTGGGCTATATATAGTGCGTTCCAGTGTGGGATGTTTATAACGTACCCCCATGGAGGTGCCTACAGTCGTGTCCAAATATTTGGGGGAGCACGCGGAATCTCACTGGATGCGGACGCTTGCTGATTGTCTAGCAACCTAATCCAGTGCTGAACCACTAATAGATGCTCAATAAATGGTTTGTTGAATGAATGAATGAATGAATGAATGAATGAACACCAGGCAGAAGCAGCAAGGGTTGAGTACAGAATGTTCTGTGCCTGAGGGACAGACTGGGGTGGGCCTGTCTACAAGATGGCAGGGGTGCCACAAGCTCCAGGGGATTTCCCTGCCCCCCTGTGAAGAGGCCCAGTTCTTCCCCTGCGTCGGATATCCCCCGGGGTTCTAAGGGCAGGCCAAGGCAGGCAGAAGCCACAAAAGCTCAGCCGAGGAGGCTGCAGCTTCCTGCTGTCTTCAGGCCGTTGCCATCAAAGGATGCAGCACCCTCCGGCAAGGATGGCCGAGGAAGGTCGCCCTCGCCCCTGGGTGCTGCCTCGCCTGAATTGGGCCACCGTCCTGCGCTTTAGCGCCCTGCTGCTACTGATCAGTTTTATGATCGGCTGTTTTACCTACTGTATCCAGTTCGGGAGACCACAGCAGACGCAGTTGGAGCCGCTTGAGGTGAGAGGAGGAAAGAAGGGGAAGGAGGGGAGGGAAGCACTGGGGTGCTCTGGAGGGGACCCGACAGGCGCAGGGAGGATGCACTTAGAGGATGCGCCAGAGCGCAAGCAAAGGACGCGTAAAAGAGGCAAAATCGGAACGAAATAGGTGGAAAAGTGGAAGATGGGACAGATAGAAGACAGGAAAGGCTGAGCAGGGAGGCCAGGCCGGCCCCGGTTGCCTGGGAGCACACGGGGGATCCCGGGCTGAGAATGATGCAGCCTTAAACTGCGGGGATGCTTCAGCCCGGCCCGGGCGTTTCCGACCACGCCTGCCCGCGATGGAGAGTCAGACTGCTGGGGTCCTCACAAATCTAGGGCAGGAGGGTTGTGGGGGGGGGGGTAGCTGGCGAGGATTGGAGTTTCCCAGGACTGAAAGGTCCCACAAGTGGTAGGAAGGATGGCCTGAGTCCACCCCCCCCCCCCAACTCCGTACCCGTTCTAGGAAAACAAAGAGATCTTGCTACTGAAACTTTTCACCGGCCTGGGTAAGACTTTATAGCAGAAAAAAAAAAAAAAAAAAGTCGTAGACTAGGCCGGTGGGAATGCAGGATGGACGGCAGCAAGCAGGCACATGGGACCAATAGTCTCTCAAACCCTTCCAACTCAAGAGCTTTCTCTGTTTTCTGGTATTTTTTCCAGGTGCATGTAGCCGAGTTACAGTTGAATCTCACAGGTAAGGCTGGAATTCCAGAGGGGTGGGAGGTGGGGACAGGAAAGATGGAGGGAGGAACATAGGAAGGGAGTGGCCCCTGCCTCGACCTGAGCTAGTAGTGCAGAGCCAGCACCCAGCACCCAGGAGGCCCTGGGTTTCATCCTCAGCACCACATGAGGCAGGTTGCTGGTCCACACTTGCCATCCCAGCATTTGGGCAACAGAGAGAGGAGGGTTAGGAGTTCAAGGTCATCCTCTGACGTGTTGGGAGTTTGAAGCCAGCCTGAGTTACGTGGGATCATCTCAGTAAAACAAATAGGAAAGACAGCACTATGGGATGTTGCTCAGTGTTAGAGCGCTGCCCGGCTCACAAGTCCTGGGCTTCAGCCCAGTAAACCAGGTGTGGCGGTGCACACCTGGCATCCAAACACAGGGGTGGGACAAGCAGAAGACCCAGGAACTCAAGGTCATTGACTTCAAGGCCAGCCTGGGAAAGGGAGAGAGAAAAAGGAAAGCTGTAAAAGGGGTAGAGAGGGGCTAGAGTTAGCCAGGGACACGTGATTCCAGGAACACACCGCCTTCCTTACCCTCTCCCTTCCTCACAAAACGCAGGCACAACACCAGCAACTGCTGTGATCCAGATGTTCACAACCCTGCTCTCTCCATCCGTGGGGTAGATCTATGAGCAGGCTGGATCTTAGTGAAAAGGGTAATGGCGGGCTCAGGCATGGAGCCCCACCTAGAATCCCCCAGTGAGGGGCTGCCGACGTCACCTAGTGGCTGAGTACTTTCGTGACATGGAGATTCTGGGTTTCATGACACTCCTACAAACAAGCCAAGAAAGACATGGTGCTGGAAACTAGGCAAAGAGAATTAAGCCAAAACAGTACTTGTGGCATGCTAGGATTGGCCCTGTCCTTCCAAGTGAGGCGCTTCGGGGCACAGTGATGCACATCTGCCGTCCAAGCACTCAGGAGGCTGAGGCACAGGCATTATAAGTTCCAGGCCAGCTCAAGCTACAAGCAAGATTTTGCCTCAAACTTTAAAAACTTCTAGTAATAGCATTAGTACTTAGATAAGTACCTTGGACCTTGGTACTAGTAACCAACTAACCCTAACTTTAATAAATCCATCCTGTCTGTCCACCCTCGTCATTCTAGTGCCTAGCAACCCATGGTAGGAACATCAGGAATTTGAGGGTACCCTGTATAGCAAGATCCGGTCTCCTCAAAATCAATAACTAATTAAAGGACTCTCTCTCTCTCTCTCTCTCTCTCTCTCTCTCTCTCTCTCTCTCTCTCCCTCGCTCCCTCCCTCCCTCCCCTCCTTCCCTCCTCTCCTCCCTCTCCTCTCCCCTACCCTACTCCCAGTTAGCTGCTCTGATTGGCAGCCAACATCTTTGAGTCAACAGTCATGACTTTTTTTCATTACTAGAACAAAATGACAAAACCAAATAACAAATAAAAACAGCTTAAAGGAGAAAGGACTTCAGCCACCGTGGCTGGGAGTTGGAGGGGAAGCTGAGACCAAGGTCACTTCCCATCTTGCCGGGAAGTGGAGAGATGGGCACTCAGCACATTCTCCTTGTGCGCCCCCCATGACACCAGACCTCCACCTTCAGAACCTGTCTTCCCACCTCAGTTAGCATCATCCGTAGAACAGGTGATAGGTTTGTCTCCATGTGACTCTAGACCTCATCCTGGTGGAGGGTGTAACGTGTGTCCAACCCATGACCAGTTTCCCTTGCCCAGGAAACATGACCATGCTGGCCCAAACCTTGTAGCCCTCTGAACTGGGCCAAGGGTATTGCTGGAGATGGAGCAGGGACTGGAATTTGATGGGACAGAGAGAGAGCTCCCAGGCACCAGAGGGAGGCACAGCAGAGCCCTAGGCATTCCCTGTACCATGTCTCTCTGACTTTCTCCCTTCCTTATGTCCATCTGTCTTTCCATACATGTGTAGTTGCATATACGTGTGTGCCCATCTCTCCCTCTCTGTATCATTTTTTGCATATCTCTCTCTGCATCTCTCAATCTCTCTCCATCTCTTCTTTCTCCATCTCTCTGCCTCCCCCAGCATCCTGTGTGCCCATCCACCTCCCTCTCTTTTTTCTTCTCCTCCCTCACTTTAAGTCCCCTGTTCTAAGTGCCACTGCCTGTCTAACCTCCATTCTCCTTCCCTTCATCTTCTGCCCCCAGTTCCTCGGAAAGACCTCATACTGCGCTGGGCAGCTGGCCCAACCTTGGGAAGATCCTTCACTCATGGACCAGGGCTGGAGAAGGGGCAGCTGTATATTCACCGTGCCGGCATCTACAGGCTGCATATCCAAGTGACACTGGCTAACTGCTCTTCCGCATACGGCACCGTGCAGCACAGGGCCACCGTGACGGTGGGCATCTGCTCCCCTGCGGCCCACAGCATCAGCCTGCTGCGCCTGCCCTTTGGACAGAGCTGTACTGTGGCATCCCAGCGTCTGACTCACCTGGCCGTCGGGGATGTCCTCTGCACCAACCTTACCCTGCCTCTGCTGCCGTCCCGCAATGCTGAGGAGACTTTCTTTGGCGTCCACTGGGTATACCCCTGATCACAACTCCTGGATGGCTTGTGAGGCCTTTTAGTTTGTTAATAGTAATGCTTATTCATGCAAGTTTTACTTATTTATAAATGTATAGTACACATATCTGTTCGCTGATGCTTCCTTCCGTCTCCCCCTCGCACCTCTACCCCATCTCCCTCCCAGCTTCATGTCCGTTTTTGAATTTTATATTTTGTTGTTATTGTGGTTCTTACTAACTTCTTGAGCACCATGGAGGAGCCTTGTGCAGCCCCTATGTGCCTCAGACTGGGAAGGTAGCAACGTCCCCCTGTGTTAGTTCACAGCTAGGCCCCGCCTCCAAAGAGTCCACAGTGTCCCAAGATAGCCCCACCAGCTGGGGGCCTAGAGCCTTTTCCATGACAGTGGTAGAGAATAAATAGGGAGGGACGTGAAGATGAAGCAAGGCTAACACAGCAGCAGCAACTTCCGCTTCCTGTGCTTCCTGCCTGGCCTGGGGAAGCGGGGGACTGTAAATGTCCAAGAGCTAGAGATCTGGAAGACATCCCTTCCCCGGCGCATCTTTTCCCAAGACCAGATGTGTGCTGCAGTCTATGATCAACACTTGCAGTTTGCTTGCAAGATGCCCTGATTATTGTTTTGAGACAGGTTCTCTCCGGGAACCGGAAACTCACCCATTTGGCTAGACTAGATTAGCCGGTGAGCTTCCTGGGTTCCTCCTTTCTCTCCTGGGCTGGGGTTACAGACAGTCACCATCACACACGAGTTTACAAGGCTGCTGGACCTCTGAACACAGGTCTGCTCAGCCCCTCTACTTCTTGGTCCTCCTATTCAACGGGCCGGCCAGTTCCCATGTTTGGATTCTGGGAACATGTTCATTTAGACCATGGCAAATACTTACAGCCAGAAACGGCACATGGGTTATAGCTAAACCGCATTCTCTGCCGTGTTCCAGTTAGTCTAAACCGTAAAAGGACGTGTTCCTACGTGAAATAGAAATGACCTCAGTGGAAACAAACTGTGATGGGAAAAGGACTCTGGGTTTCAAGGTTTGAGCACTGGGGGTTAATAAGGCCAGAGTTTCTAGTGGGGAATCTCCAGAGTCCACCAAGATGATGTCAACAGGTACAGCCGTGAAACTTCCCCTTTGGTGACACCCAACTGTGGAGGAGCCTGATTTACAATACTAAAAAGAAAAAGCCAGCAGACACATAATGCCCCTCCACCATAAAAAGGAAAGGCATTCAGAATTGCCCAGCTCCAAGCCAAACTCAGTAGACAGCAGGCTGCAGGCCTTCCCACAGATGCCCCAGGGGTCCAGACTCACACAGATAAGAAGCTGGTCAAGGTGCTGGGGCTGGGGGACACTTTGTGAGGGCAGACAGGGGGTGTCAGTGGCTCTCTGCCTACAGAAATGTGACTACTGGATAGTATCCTTTGGTTAGTGGTATATTTTATGTGACTTGGATTTCGTCAAAATAAAAATAGATAAAATCAAAAAAGGAGTTTAAATTTGCCAGTCCCCACGCCCACTAGACAGGGATATGAGGAGGGGCTGAGTCCAGGGCAGCAGCAGCCATGCAAACATCCAGGCCTGGGGCTTCGTGCCTGCAGCCACAGCTCTGGACGAGACGAGATCCCGGCCTGGTGCCAGTCCAATCGAAGCGGCCATTTCTTTCTTCTTTTTTTTTTTTTCTCCTTCTTGTTGTTTTTTACTCTTTTTACTCCGTACTCTTTTGGGGATCCCAACCCAGTTTTGGGAACCCAGTTCCCAAATAGATACACGGAGGCCTATTCTTAGGAAAGCCCAGCTTCCACTTGTCTTGTTTCTTGCCAGTTTTGCTAAATTCGCCTGCTTACCGCGTGCCTCTGTGCTTTTCCCTTTTCTTCTGTATGTCTTACTTTCACTCTTACTCCGTGGCTGGCAGGGTGACTGACCCCTGACGTCCCCCTTTTCTCATTTCTCCGCCCGCCACCCCGGTCTATCCTTTCTCCTGCCTCGCTGTTGGCCGTTTATGGCCTTACAAGACCAGCAGGTGTTTTAGACAGGCAAAGAATCGCAGCTTCGCAGGGTTAAACAAATGCAGTATAAACAAAAGCAGCACCGCTTAAAATAATATTCTACACCACTGCCTCCTTTTTAGTTTTATTATTTTTTTTTTTTCGGGAGGGGGTTGGAAACAAGGTGTCTATGCCTAGCCCTGCTGGTTGGTTATGACCACAGAGCATGAGGTGAAGGTGCTCCCACAACCTTTGGTGCCTGTTGCCTAGGAGAAATTCTCAGTAGTGGGTTTCTGGATCTGGGAGTTTTCGGGTGACTGACAGATGCTTATTAGCATTGCTGGTTCTGTCTACAGCAGTCTCCCTCCTGTGAGAGTGAGTGCGGAGCGCAGTGTGAAATGGGACTCAGCAGGCCAATAGCATGGCGCCTTGGGTAAATGCTTTCTGCCAAGCCCCAGGAGAGAGCTGATTCCAGAAGTCGTCCTCTGACCGCCATACACTGGCTGTGGCACACCCACATATACACACATGCGCACCCACATATACACGCATGCGCACCCACATTACACGCATGTGCACAAAATAGACTAATGAAAATGTGCTAACAGGTGACATCCAGAGCGCTGGCTAAACTGTGAAGAGCAATCGCTCCAGCCAGACAGTGGTGGCGCAGGCTTTTAATCCCAGCACTTAGGAGGTGGAAGCAGGAGGATGTCTGGGTGTTAAGAGGCCAGCCTGGTCACAGAGAGAGTTCCAGGACAGTCAGAGCTACACAGAGAAACCCTGTCTCAAACAACAACAAAAAGTAAATAAATAAAAACAAGAAACAGCAACCACATGGCAGCTCAGCTGTCCGTAACTCCAGTTCCAGGGGATCCGGCGCCCTCTGCTGGCCTCCAGTAACACACATGGTATACAGTACCAGTAACACACATGGTACACAGACATCCGTGCTGGCAAAACACCCAGACACATAAAAAGATATATAAAATATTTTTTTAAAGTAACAATTTTAAATCGATATATGTGCAGTCTGTGTGTGTGTACATTTGTGTGGGGTGCGGAGGGTAAGCTTGGGTGTTATTCCTCAGACGTTGCTATTGGCTTATTTGAGGCAGGGTCTCACTGGCCTAGAGCCCTCCAAGAAAACAAGGTCATCTGGCCAGGTAGCCCCAGGGCCCTTCAGTCATCTCCTGCCAGGGCTGGGGTCCTAACACCCAGCTTGCTTGCTTACTTTTTTGGTTTTTTGAGGTAGTGCTTCTCTGTGTAACAGCCCCAACTGTCTTGGAATTAGCTCTGTAGCCCAGGTTGGCCTTGAACCCACAGAAATTCATCTGCCTCTTCCTCCTGAGTGCTGGGATTAAAGGCGTGTGCCGCCACCACCACCCAGTTCAGACACCAGCCTTTTATGTGGGTGCTGAGGATGAACCTTGGATCCTTGTCTCTGTACTTTCTGGACTGAACCACTCCCGGGCCCTAGGTGTGTGACTGCCAGGAAAACGGTGCATCTCCCCTTAGGATGCCAGCTCTCTCTATCCTGTTTCTGAAAACCTGTGAGTAGAAAACTGGACATCACGGCACATAGCTGCCATCCCATCATTCCCAGGAAGCTGAGGCAGGAGGTTTACAAGATTGAAGCCAGTCTTGGCTATGTAGTCTTATCTCAAAAAAAAAAAAAACCCAAATCAAACCCAAAACAAGTGTGGATGGAAAGGAGGGGAAAAGGGGTCTGGGGAAGAAGAGAGGGAAAGAGCAGAAGAGTGGAGGGAAGGAGAGAGAGAACGAGGGTGGGGTCAGGGAGCAGTACATCTCCATTAGTCTCAGCGGTTTGGCTGGGTATCACTTATACAACAGAACGTGGGACACAAGCGCTGCAGAGCCGTCACTTTCTTTCACTCCGCCACCTCAGCTGACTGTTTTGCTGCTGGCATGTTTCTCTTTTTGTAGAAATTATTCTCATTGTTATTTATGAAAGTTGCCATGGTCTCCCTCGGCCAGGGCCTCCGACTGAGTCATAGATACAGAACTGAAACTTGTGAGCAGTGTCCCACATGCCTTGGGACTCCAGGGAATTCAACCCTCTTAGTTTCCACATCTAGGGAGCAGTGTGCAGTGTGCGTCTTTCCGTGCCAAACACTACTTTATCACGTCTGTGGACTCCATCAGTCGATTCGGCCGGAGCTGAAAATGCAGGGTTTCATTACAACACATTTCTTCATGGGGCTCACTGAACTTGGTCCATATTCACCCCCACAATGCTCTGTTGTTCCTCCCTCTCCCTCCCTCAAGATCCCTGCATCCTCCACAGAATGCCCTTCTGCCCAATGGCGTGCATGCATTCATTTCTCCGTCCAAATGCCTCACACTGGAGGGAAGGTGGCATTTGCCTATCTGCCTTTGACTGACTTGTTTTAATATAATGACCTCCGTTTCCATCTGTTTTCATGAAAATAATACAATTTGAGTCTTTTTAAAATTTTTAAAGCATGCAGTTCTTTTGTTGGTGGTGTGTATATGATTGTAACAGCACATGAGGTCAAAGGGCAGATGAGAAGATCAGCTCCCTCCTTCCACCACACAAGTCCCAGGGCTAGAACTCAGGTCTGCGTTCACCCTCAGCCAGCTCAATGCCCACCCCATACCTTTTCTTTAACAGATTCCCATGTAGCCCAGGCTGGCCCCAGTGAGCAAATTTCCTCTTTTGAAGACTTATTTCTGTATGTGTCCCTGTGGTGGTCTGTACCTGAGGGCTGTGTTCTGGAGCTGGAGTCACTAAAGACAGCTGAGAGTTCTGTGTGGGAGCGGGGATGGAATCCAAGTCCTCAGCAAGAGCAGCCGATGCTCGAACCACTGAGCCATCATTCCAGCCTCTTTTGATCTTTTCTAGGGTCACCCTCACAGTTATGAGGTGACAGTCCTCTGTGGTTTTGGTTAGCACTTTCTGCTGCTGCTGCCGCTGGACTCCTTCTGCATGTTCACTGCCCATATCTGGTGCTTAAGAAATGGATTGAAGCTGGGCAGTGGTGGAGCACACCTTTAATTCTAGCACACAGGAGGCAGAGGAGGCCTCTGGTGTACAAAGTGAGTTCCAGGACAACAAGGGCTACCCGGAGAAAAACTGGCTTCAAAAACCAAAACCTGAAACTAAAAACCAAAGAGAGAGAGAGAGAGAGAGAGAGAGAAAGAAACAAAAGAAAGGAAAGACAGAAGGAGGAAAAAAGAAGGTGGGAAGGAAGGAAGAAGGGAAAGAAAGAAAGAAAGGAAGGAAGGAAGGAAGGAAGGAAGGAAGGAAGGAAGGAAGGAAGGAAGGAAGGAAGGAAGAAGAAATTGATCCTCTCACCGAGGAAAGGAGTGGGGGCTCCAGTGAACTACATGACTACAAGCCAGGACAGCATCTCTGGGGATCGTGTTCCTCAGAGCCCAAAATTAGGACTGTAGTGTGACTTCAACACACAAAAAAGGCCGACACCTTCATAGGGTGCTCACTGCCGCTCCATACGGTAGCCAGGATATGGGCCAGCCTAAGTGCTGGGCAACAAATGGGGAGGCAATGCAGCGGTAAGTTCCCTTGCTCTACAAGTTCAGGGCCTGAGATGGGATCCACAGCACACACATAAACAACAGGCATGACTAAGGGAAGTCAGATACAGGGAGATCGCTGGGACTGGCCAGACTGGCCAAAAAATAGAAGGCGCCAGGCTCAAGGTGGAGAGCAATAGGCACGACACCAGACATCCTCCTCTGGCCTCTGCACAAGTGCATACACAGGAGAGAGAGAGAGAGAGAGAGAGAGAGAGAGAGAGAGAGAGAGAGAG